GGCTATCAAATTTAGCTATTCTGGCAATTGAACATGACATACTTATTAATATTGACAATTGTATAAACGATTTTGCTATGAAAAAACACGAAAAGTACATTTTTAATTAATAAAAAAATTTAAAGCTGCTTTATTTGACTTTTACTAATTTTTTTGACTAATAATTAAAATATGCGAGCGTGGGCTTCTACGCCACTGGGTGTGCCAAATGAGAGACAAATCGAACTTGAGGCAAATAAGTTATTTAAATAGAAATATAAAAAAATTGAACTTTTACAAGCTGCAACTTGCAAACAATTACCGATTCGAAAAGAACGTTCATTACATAATGCTATTATTTTAATCCGTAGAATTACCTCCCGGAGTTTCCTGACGGACTTTCAGAATACCTTGTATATCAAAAACACAATCTATAAATGCTAAGTCAGTTTATCTACATTAGCATAATTTTAACCATTGAGATGATTGTCAGGTGAAGTTATATCATAAAATGTTGTAACGCAGTAATAGGAGCTGCGGTACCCGACGTGTCAAAAGCGCGACACAAGAATTAGATGGGTTCGATCTTGGTATACTGTTGACTCGATTCCCACTGCAACAGATCTGTACCTCAGATGTCTGCATGGAGGACGATTGGGGTATAAGATCTAATATTGGAAAGAATCTTCTTCGACTTTATTTAAAGTTTTGAATAAACCTAGAACCATTTTAAGATAAAATTTTACTTTTTTTTTGGTTTGCCGCAGCATAAGTAATCTAATTTAAACCAAATTCGCAAAATTCACAAATTAAAAATCTCTTATATTCTAAGAAATAGTATAGAATCCACTCAGATAATATAAGTTTCAAATATAATGATGCTCCTGGAAAAAAGCACACTATAATTTATGCAAATTTTAGTAATCAGTCTATCTTCAACTTAACGCAAACTGGCATTAATGCTCGTTTATTAAAAATTAAATTTGTGGTGGGCTAATGATAGGTTTGGCGAATTATACGACTTTATGCAGGGTCTGTCCGAGATTATACGTAATAAAAAATGACAAACTCTAAAGAACACATCAACTCGGCAACCCTATACAAAAACACAACCTATACTTTGCCCAATCTCGTACCGGGTTAGCTACCAAAAATTTCATTCGCAGTGATCGTTACAGAAATGTTTTAATATCATTGGAGTTTTATATAACAAAAAATGGCCCCTGAAATTATATACATCTCGGCAACTGCTTATTTGGCCGGTCATAAAAAGACCAAATTATATTTTACGTGGCCCATAAATAATGTCTTTTAACTATCATCGATCATTATTTTCAAATTAATATTAAGTTGAATTTCTCCATGTTATGCACAAATGCCGTATCGTGTGAATGCAAGATCGTGCATCGTCTAGGAATATTTGCTTATATTTTACATCTGTACATCGTGTGTATGACATAACTTGGCGCTATAGATTTTAGCCAAATCCAAATAATCTGCAAATATTTGACAATTTTGACATTGTCATATTTTGACGAATGTTTATTACAGAACCGCGACATCTGGAAGAGGCTTTAGTAATTGTGTTGACAGCAGTGTTGCCAATCATAGCGTACAATAAATAAAGTAATCATAACATAAGTAAATCTAAATAAAATCAAGTTTTTCAAAATATGTTTCATAAGAAAATGGTAAATCATCATATTTAAAACCTATTAAACCAATCTATTCCAAAACTTACTTTATTTTGTTGTAGCGACCTGTTGCGGAATTTTTATGGCGCCGTGGAGACTTTCTTATTTTATGATTGGCAACACTGGTTTATAAAAACAAAAATTATATAAAAACAATATTTTAAAAAACGACGAAATACTATTTATTGTTCAGTTAAAAGTGAGTGCTATGAATGACTTTAGGTTTTAGGTAAATAAATAAGTTGTACAAATAATTTTACATACTTTGTATTTGTAAATCGTTTTTTTCTGTTTTGATTCAAATTTTCGAATAGTCACATTTTGTTTACAAACAATTAGTTGTATTAATTTTCTGTGCCTCAGTAAACAATATTAAAATTGACAAAAGGATAGATAAACTAAAAATGTATCATAAACGAATGCTTTCAAGAGGTAAGGCATGTCAGTGCACGACACTTGTTGGAAATATACTAAATATAGCTTTTTTTGTACATTTTTAGTAATTTCTGATAACAGCTGTGGCATTCTAATATCTCTTCAATGTTTTAAATTTAGATACAAATGGTAAACTGTCATTAAAAAAGGACTATTTTATTTTCACATTTTAAATATCAACAGTTTTTTAACTATGAAAATTTAGTTTTAATTATTTTTTCCAGATCGAGTTAAATGGGTTTGGAAATGGATAATAATATGAAAAACGTTTAAAACCTTGAGAACAACAGGAAAAGAGTAGCTCATGGGTACCTACTTTTGTATTATTCATTTCTGGTAAGTAGTAATATATATTGAATAACAAGAATTAATCACTTACCTGCAAGGCAGTTGCTGCAAAATATTTGGTCAGGTCATCACATTTCAAATATCTAGTGCTAAATGTGAAAATGATTTATTTATATAGTGACGTAATTGGATAATTTCAAATTTTTAATACCAGTAAGAAAAATGCTCGGTATAATATACAATAAAACACTTTTGGGATCAGGAGACATTTATTCGTCAATATACACCTAGCTAAGGATTATTACATATACAAATTAATATATTAAATATTACGGCAACTAACCCTTCCACATATAAAAATCTATGTACAAAACAAGTTTTTTCATCGTAAGGCACATTTATAACATTTTCTAAACACATACATTATTCAAGGGTAACAAAAATTAGTATCGTCATTACCTTTAGATGCCCATCATCACAAAATTGAAAAAACAAAACGCAATACAAGTAAATTTTATACAAATTAATTCTAAACGGAAACGAAACTCTTATAACCAAAAGCATTAGTTTAAATTAATATTTCATTCACTTGTAAAGTCCTTATATTTATAAAGAACCGCAATCACCCGCCATTTTGATACAGAATACCTATTACTGTAAAAACTGTAATTTTAATACTAATATAATTTGCATAAATACACGCCAAATAGTTTATTATACGATAAACTAACTTTTTATCTAAGATAAATGGTGTTTTCCTATAAACAGCAGTTGCATTAAAAAAATTAGTAGGTAATAGTTAATATGTAACGAAATACTTAGAAACATCAAACACCAACTGACTTTGTCACACTCCAATTTTGGGACAAAACGAGAATGATTGCGGTACTTTATCAATTTAGGGACTTCAAATCGCTTGTAAAGTCCCTAGATTGATAAAGTGCCGCAATCATCTGTGGAATATACAGAAACATCAAACACAAAGCGACATTTGCCAAGTCACAAAGAGGAACAATTCTTGCGGTACTTGATCAATCTAGGGACTTTATTCACGTGTAAAGTTCCTAAATTAATACAATGTTTACAAAAGTCAGACACAAAGTGACATTTGTCAAGTCACTATTTTGGAGCAAATGGTTACGGTATTTGATCAATCTAGGGACTTTATTCACTTGTAAAGTCCCTAAATTAATACAGTATAGTAATCTGTGGAATATTTAGAAAAGTCAGACACAAGGTGACATTTGTCAAGTCACTTTCGGGGCAAATGGTTGCACTACTTGATCAATCTAGAGACTTTATACACTTGTAAAGTCTCTAGATTCATAAAGTATCACAATCATCTGCCATTTTGGAGCAAATTCTTTGAAATATAAGATTAAATATTCAATATATTTTTGTAGGATGTAATATTTTATAATAGGTAGAGTTTTGATATACTTAGCAGCTAATTATGAAACAATGTAGGGAATAGTTAATATGCAGCGGAATCTTTAGAAATGTCAAACACAAAGTGGTGTTTGCCAAGTCCCCATTTCAGAGCAAAACGGGAACAACGGTTGCGGTACTTGAAACTAGGGACATCATTCGCTTGAAATGATGACAGCCATCTATTATGTAATTTAAGTACTTCTAGTCAGTTCACTGTTAGAGATTCGCTAAGGCTATTATTTAATATAACATATGGAAATATTATACAAATGTCTTTTGTTTTGGTTTAGGATTAAAAAAATGTTAAAATGGCTAAATGAGCTAAAATAAATAAATTACTAAATCACCTTAAACCAATAACTTACACAAACATACATATTTATACACCTAACAATATACATATGTAGCAAACTAAGAAAAAGAATCGTTTTTAAGAGGGAATTTTAAAAAACTTCCTTTTAAACGAGCAAATTAATATATTTATTAGGGTGGCCCAAAAAAAACGAATATTTTTTCGTGTTTCTTGTGAAAATGTTAGTTTATCTTGTTTTAAGAGCTCCCTCAAAAAATCAGCTCAAAAAATTTTTTTAGAGGTCGCTCAAGATTTTTTACAAATTTCCAAAATCATCAAAAATTGATTTTTTTTCTCGTTATTTTATCATTTTCTAGGTTGAAAAAAATATCGATTCTGAAAATTTCAAATCAATATTTTCATTTCTAAAGTAGTGTATCTAAAATGTTTTCGAGCGGCCTCTAAAAATAACAACATGGAACACTTAAATTTTAAAAAATTTTAAAATTGTAAATTGATACAGTACTGTAGTAAAATTTGCCTTGAGAAATTTTTTAAGTGTCTTGTGATTTATTTCTATTCTGTTGTTCATCAAATTCAATAAAAAAATTATTAGTTCGTTGACATTTATTTTTAGAGGTCGCTCGAAAACATTTTAGTACACTACTTTGAAAGTTAAAATAATTATGAGTGGCATTTAGAAATTAAAATATTGATTTGAAATTTTCAGAACTGAGATTTTTTTCAACCTAGAAAATGATAAAATAACGGGAAAAAAATTAAAAAAATCAATTCTTGACGATTTTGGAAATTTTTAAAAATCTTGAGCGACATCTAAAAAAATTTTTTTGAGCTGATTTTTTGAGGGAGCTCTTAAAACAAGATAAACTAACATTTTCACAAGAAACACGAAAAAAAAAATTTTTTTTTTTTGGGCCACCCTAATATTAGTAGTATTTGATATTATAAATAGTTTCTAGTAGTACCTTAACCATGTTTTAGAAACTGTTAGACTAAAAACAGTGTTTATTTATCATAAAAATTATAATCATGAAACTAATACCAAACATATTAGCTAGAGATAATATTTGATTGATTTCATATACCCTGCATGTTATTTACACGATCTACCTTCTAATTTATTCCCTAATATTTACGACTTTAATGGCTAGCAGTCCGCTACGTAAATATGTCTTAGAGATTATTACGATTACAACAAAAATAAAACGAATCCCACATTGAAAAGATCGATGCCTCAAAATTTTACCTGTTAATGAGTATGCTCCATGCATATTAGACAAATATTGAATAAGAACACAAACGTTCTATGAACAGCATTAATTTACTCAATTAGTTTATAAAATGTTAAACTGAAATTGGGAAACATCAAAATTTCGTTGGCCGATTGTTGGTTTATTCTACCTCCATTTCTCTTTTCAAATTATCGCTAAGGAGTCATTTCTAGAAGTATTTTTATCTGTCTCCATTAAAAAATTTAATGAACAATTACTGATTTTTTTTTAATAGGGATATATTAAAATAATTTTAAAATACACTGAAATTACAATTTGTAAAAAATGGAAATAGAACAATACGATAATCAGCTGACGATTTTACTTTACTAAGATCCAAATTCGGCACTAGTTTTGTCATTTTGCCAATAAAAAACGTTTACAGAATCTTTTTTGTATACATGACTGTAAAAATGAGAAACATGACGTTTTAATACAATCCAACAATTTTCAGTTTTTCCCGGCTTGGTACCAAAATCTTAATTTTTTACAGTACAAGTTCCAAATGGTAGTAGAATTTTTTTCCAGTAAGTATATTTAAAACTGTTTTTAAAATTACGTATTACAAACAGCACAGGATTCAATAAATACATAACAAAATATCAGGTTCACTGAAATGCTTTAAATCTGTTTGGAAAAATTAAAATTTTAGTATTATATCTTCAACTGAAAACAAAAAAATTAGCCAAGTATTTAACAACGGGGTGCTACATTTTAAACTGAACAATATCATCTGAAACAGGTAGAACACCATAAGAACAATGACAAAACAACTTTAAGATCATCAAGACATTCACAACCGAAAAGAACACGAATAACGTTAATTTCGTTGATAATCGGAAGAACAGTTACATGACTCACTTACGTATCTATACTTTCGGGCGTATCTCCTTAAATAACCACTGCTGATATGCATTGTTAGTGTCGCACGGCATCAGGGAGAGGTGAGAGGTCTGCGGGTGCAATGCCATACATTTCTTATAGGTCCTGTGGAATAAGGTGTGGGTATTCTCGTCGTAGATCCATGGTCCGTCGGCGGTACCTAATCGGCAGAATGCCAGTTTTATGCCCTGAGCATCCGCCTCGATGCACCTTTCGCCGACGCCGAGCTGACCCTTGAGGTTCAGTCGGATCAGTTGGTTGTTGCCGAAGCCGTGACAGTGCTGGATCGCCATCAGCGATGGCGGGGCGTGCCCTAAAGTGTCCAAGCACTTGCTAACTGCCACCGATCTATATTAAATAATATTACATTAAAAAAAATACTAGGTAAGATTTTAGTCAATAAATAAACGGGTATTTAACAATTTTTTGTCCAATAAATTGATATATAAAAACAATATTTTCTACTTCAATACAATTGACCAAGATTTAGAAGAGATAGAACTGATTCTAATTTATTGGCCAATTTTAGGGATTTTTAGTGGCTTTTAATATTTGTTCAGTAGCACCAATTTTAATAGCTATATGGACGAGATAACAGATAAAATAAGTACCCAGTTTATTTACCAAAAGTAAAGTAGCTGACATATCTATTAAAATTGTAAACATTGTAAATTTATTGCATCACCCAGCATTGTTAAAAACATATTGTATGAATTAAATACATAAGCCCTGGAAAATTTTAATCAGATATATATAATACATTTAAAAACTTACCTTAACTCTCCAAAATGCACGTTTGGTGGTAATTCGGGATATTTATCCAGAACGTCGTAAGCCACATTCTCCATAAACCACTCGAAATTTTTGCACTTCAAACGTTCCTTCAAAGCCAGCTGTTCGCTGATATCCCCCATGTCTAAATACCGAGCAAACGGCTCGCGGGTATAAAAGAATTCCTTATATTTAGTATCGAACCAGGTTTCGATTACACGTTTATAATTAATGGTGATAAGAGGCCCTTTCTTTTTCTGTGCTAATTTCCCGAAGTTATAGGGCATGAAACTGCGATAAACGTGGCCGACTCTCGAACATGGGACCCATTCGATACTGCCACCACACTGCCATATTTTGAAACTTAACTCAAAGTTCTCGCCTCCCCACACCAGCAGACCTAATGATAAGACACATAGAAACATTTTAACAGTCATGTAAAATGGGGTAATGTTAAATGCAAACTTATTTATAGCCTTTGAATTCTTAGATTACAAAAAATATGTTTAATTGCGGCTGACAATGACTTAGTCATACTGCAAAAATGTACTTTTAAAGAATGTCGCAATAATTCAGAATTAACAGATTGTAGACTGTAATAAACTGTATTTTAGAGGTAATATCCAGTTTTAGGGGCACATTTTTTAAATTTTTGGACCAGGAAAATGCTGCTTCGTTTTTGACACAATGTTGTGTTACATCCTGTATATAAATACATCATAAGCACCCATACTTTAGTATTTATTATACAAATGTATTGTTTTTTAGATTAATTTAGGTTCATTTTATGGCCTTCAACTAATATGGGAAATATTTCCAATAAAATATTAATGTGGTTTAAATAAAAGACTATTTGTGAACTCATATTTTAAACAAGCAGATTTACAAATTTAAAATTAATATGGCATTTAAAATTCACTTAGTTCCTCTTTTGAATGGAATAATTTGAAATTAGATTTCTAACCTGGATCGTATGCTCCTAATTCCAAGAAGTACTCCCTGTTGATGGCGAACAGTCCACCAGCATGTGTCGGGCTTTTGTAGGGTTCGCTATTATATTTCCTCTTACTCAACTCTCTCTGGGGTACTTCGTTCTCCTTATAGAGCATACCCCATTCAAATATTCCCCTAAAATGCCTGTCGTCTCCATAGACTGGCCGATACTCAAATGTTTTATGATCGATTCCATCGATGACGGGTACAGTCATTACCGTCTTGTCGCGATAGATTGGAGCTAACAATGGGGGTAACCAATTCGTGTTTACCTCACAATGTGCATCTGAAATATTACACTTATGATGTGTGGAAATGTTAATAGATAAAAATGGATTAGGTATATGTATAGATTGGCCCAATTTCAATAATTTTAAATATTTTCTAGTACTTGTAGTAAGACGTCTTAGGCTTGATTTTTAAGAGAAACACAGAAAGTGCATCTCCGCATTTTAATTTTTATCTGTAGCATTATTTTGAAAAGGTTATAACTATTTTTCATTATTCGCCATTTTCTAAATAGGTCGATAATTTTTTTGGACAACTTCAGTGACATACATTATATTCGGCTATAATAACTGTTCTTTTTTTTAGTAATACTCCAAACATATATCTTTTTAAATTAATAATGGAATTGAGTACAGCATACATTTTTTTACTCTAGACAGTAAACGTCCCTTTACTTGCACTTCGCGTACTATTATTTTTGGAGACAGATAAAATGTAAATAAACAAGTATAAAATTATTACATGTTAAGTAATTAAAAAGTGTCATATATATTCGATTAAAAGTTAAGCAGTATATTTAATCGTAATATGAAAATAAATTATTCCAATAAACACTTACCAAGAAAGACAATGACTTCTCCAAGTGCCTCTTGAGCTCCTCTAGACCGAGTCCGAATCAAACCTTCCCGTTGATTATTTCTAATCAACCTAACCTTCCCATGAAATTGTTCAATATAATTTTCCAGATCAGATTTAAGATTTTCCTTGTCGCTGAAGTCATCGACTAACAGAACCTCTTTTAAAACGTGTTTTGGGGATCTGTTTAAAACAGAATGGACTGTCCTTAACAGTACTGACCAACCTTCGTTGTGAAATACAATGATAACACTAGTCGTCGGTAAGTTTTGTGGATAGTCCCAGTGTTTACATTCTGGTAGCCTTGTGTCGAGAATTGAGCGATCTAAAGAAATTTCGTCAGAACATGCCACATTCATGCCATACTCCGACTCGGATTGATCTGCATCGTTCTGCTGATCCTGGCGTAAGTGGTGTGGCTGTCCCTTCTCCCCAGGTCCATCTCTATCCTCAAGTTCTCGGGGTTCGAAGTTCCCCAATTCTTTAACTAATTTAGGTGTCTCTTTGTGTGACAGTCGTGAGGCTACTGAATTATTTAAACGGTATTTAGACTCCTTATCATATGTAAATAATAAATAAAACAGAGCTAATATGATAATTGCATATATGCCTAGTCTAATAGTTTTTGATTTTCGTCCTAAATACAAATGGAACGACATGATATTGAATATTATTGGTGAAAGTAACACTGAAAAAAACAAATAATTCAATATTAACCCAAAAAAATTGCATTGGTAAAACAACTAACCTAAATAACCGTTATTTGCAAATCCTTATGCATAAAATGTATCTCATATGTTAATTCATTCAGAAAATTGTCCAAAAACCTGTTAAAACATAAATGATGTCAACTAAACACGTAAACACTACCGGTGAAGTTCATTTTTGACATTTCCGTTTCAGTAGGGGAGATTTTTAACGTCGGAAATAATTGCCCATCTACCGGTTGGTAGTGACATCATCGTAATATTCTGTTGGCCGTTATTGGCGATAACGGTATCGGGACTTTTTCGTTTTTACATATGTAGGGAATTATAATTTTGTAATAATATAAGAAATTGCCGAAATTGACTTGTCAGCACATATTCAAAATCATGTATCAAGCATACCTACATATAAAACCAATGGTATAACTTAATTTTAAATTAGAATTTAATAGACATCAATGTTTCCATCGAATTTTTTTCATAGAACTGTTAACATTTTACTTAGGCAGAATTAAGAGTTATGGATATGAAAAGCCTTATCTAAGTACATTTTTGGAAAAAATACAGTTCTATGGTTGGCCATAATCATCACCTTGTGGCTAACTGAAGGTCCAAAAATACTTTCTCTTGGAATTTTTTTGAAAAAAGAAAAAATCTCAGTCCTGTACTGTGATAATTTCTGAACTATGTCCGCATTCATTTTATTTGTACACCCCGGTCATTTGACATTTTCAAAAAGAATGTATGTAAGTAGGTATATAATGATAATGAAATATGTTCTCATTAACATATTTTTTATTTCATAAAATTAAATTGCACACTGTTAAGTGATTGACACCAATACACAGGTACCCGTGTTGGTGACGTATTTTACAGTTAACAAACCTGCGAATATCTGTGACATGGAAAAATATGGATATATAACAGCATACAGTTTACAGTTATAAATTGTGTTTTCACTCTTGAAATGACTGAGACTGACTTATGAATATAGTGTCAGGTTTATTAATAATTCAGGATGCATTAACTATATAGTCACTTTATTTCTTTGGTTATATTTTAACAGATTTCGGTCCAGCATATTTTCATTGTCTTTTTCTTAAGAATAACCTTGCGAAATGGATGTTTTTTTTTGTCTTCATATTAGTCTGCTTTTTATTCATCAAACTATATGAAATATTTTAGAAACTATTCGACTTTACTTCAACTAAAAAATAGCAGAGAAACTTTATTCGTTGGACATTTGTCTGGAGCCCAATGAATTTTTAGTCAGTGGTAGAAATTTTCCTAGAACGAAAAATGAAATAAACAATATTTTCGGATAGGATTAATTATTTCTATAATTTGCCGGATGCGCCAGCGATAATATAAAATTTCAATAGTCATTATTTTTACGATCCTCAAATAACAAAAATTAATTTAAAATTAATTTGGAAGTATTGAAATAGTTATTTTCCAGATTTTCCTATAGGAAATTTTTTTAAATCAAAATCATTGAAGCAAATTTTGATTTCCCAAAAAACGAGTGTCCAAAATCTAGGTACATGAAAACATCAAAATGAGACCCACTGAACACTATTATTATAGTGTGTGACTTTTTCTTTGCGTTTTATAGAAATAAAAAAAATTAAAACTACGCTATAGAGTTATTAAAGCTATTATATTTATGTACCTACATTAATATAAAAACTTTTATTCACTTGTTACATGGGAAAATGTATCCTGTATATTTTTCCGAAAATTACATTAGTGTCTCTCTTTCAGGAAAATACTCAAATATACAGTTTGTCCAAGATAAGGATGGGATAGCATTAGGATCTAGGAAACAGTAAGAGATACGGAGTGGCTCAAATTAGAAAAAAGTTATGTTTTTTATACCTAGCAATACGCCGTTTAGAAAATTATAAAATTCCGGGTAGTTCCGAAGATATCCGGAAAAACCCAAATTTTTAAAATCGTTTTATTTTTTTTCTGGCTTTATTTGAAAACGAATGTTAAAATAAATTACATATTTACAATGCCACTTTTTTCGCTTTATCCAGGGGCGTCTACATTTTTGCAATCCGACGTTTCGTCTTCGAGGGGCCATCATCAGGTTAATTTTTTTAAATACGTTGCTGCTATTTTTATGACAAACTCTAAAGTCATTTTTAATTCTGAATTAGACGATATTACTATTGTAATCAGTAAAAAGGTTTTTAACTATCATTTTTTTATCAATAATTTAAAAAGTTGGACCTAATAAAAAAATAATACGAATTTATGAAATGTTTTATTATTTCTAATTAGTATTGCTAATAGTAGTAAAAAAAATTGTTGGATATTTTGTGCGGTATTGACTTTTATACTGTTATGACTTCTTCCAATAAATATTTTGAAAGCGTTCAGAGCCGTACTCAGGAAAAATTTTAAAGGATAGCTAAAATAAGCTAAAAACCTTTTTATATTATTTACATTTACAATTAATTGTAATATCATCTAATTCAGAATTAAAAATGACTACATTTTGCCATAAAAATAGCAGCGACGTATTTAAAAAAAAATACCTGATGATGGCCCCTCGAAGACGAAACGTCGGATTGCAAAAATGTTGACGCCATTGGATAGAGCGAAAAAAGTGTAAATATGCATTTTTTTAATTCGTTTTCAAATAAAGCCAGAAAAAAATTAAACAATTTTAAAAAATTTCGGGTTTTTCTGGATATCCGGAAATATCCGGAATTTTAAAACTTTCTAAACGGCATATTGTTAGGTATAAAAACAGATATACCGAAAAAATTAAAGTTGTGCCAAATAAGTATTTTCAAACAATGTAAAATCTATAAAACTACAATACGAAGCCGAGATTATGTTACTAGTTGAAATATGAATACTTATTATTATTATTTTTTCTTTTTTGATAAAATAATATTGAAGAAGTGAAAAAAAATTATATCATTAATTTTAAACATGTGACAAAAAAATCAATTGTATGATTTTTATCAGTAGTTTCAATATGATAGAGAAGTAGCAGAAAAATACAGTACAAAAACGCGATACAAAATTTAGTGGAAATATGCAGGGAAAACTTTTCTGAGGCCCCCCACAAAAAAGGATATTTTTGAAATATTGCTTAGCTATTTTGGATTTCTGGTTTCAACAGGTTGTTGGCCTTCAGTAGCATTTTATGTGTGCCAAAAATAAATGAGTTCTAACAAATGGTTCGAAAGCTACAGCCAAAATAAGTTTTATTGAAAATTTAAAGGTAGGTATACCTACAAGTTTTGACCCATGACCTTTTTTAGTATGTACAGTTATGAAACACCCTGTACCTACGAGTAGTACGTCCTCCAGCCCTACTCACAGTTGGATAACATATCACTTATCTACATCTCTGGTAATTCAAGAACCAGTTGCAGTACATTATGATGGTATGAAATGTACGTTTTGATTTATTTTAAGAACACCAGTTATATACCAGTTAGGTAAACCACTATTGAATTTAAAACGTTCTACGATATTTCTAAAACAATTTCCCCAATTTGGAAACGGGAGAAGGACAACTCTTTGATATGAGGTAAAATCATGTAGAGGCAAATTAAAGATCATTTATATGATAATGTCACAATAAAATATGAGGCATGTGGGCAGCTGGTTTCTCCCTTAGACTAACCACTACGTCACATCACACGTTTCAGAATTTGCGTGTTCTGTAAGGCAGTGGCGGGACCTGGGAGATACAGTTAGGCTTTCGTAGTCTTCGTAACTCCTGAATACGTCGATTTGGAAATAAATAATAAAGTTGCAAAAAAGCTGAAAAGCAAGGTGCTTGTTATTATTGCTTAATAAGTATCATTGAAATAATCTAAAACTATATACCAAAGAAAATAATTGCTGTTTTTTTTTTAAAAAAATAAACTTGAATTTTTTTCAAATAGGAACATTTTTTCGCTACGTAAAAACCGTCGCTAAAGTTTGGCCAGGCATTTTAGTTACATCCTGTATACAAGGACAACTTATAACTGCAATCAAATAATTGTAAAACCATCCAGATTAGAAGCGGATAAAGATCATTCATGCATGTGGTAAGAAAAAATGAGGGATGTTTGCTGCTAGTTCCTCCCCTAGACAATCACTACGTCACATCACACGCTTCAGAATTTACGTGTTCTGCAAGGCAGTGGCGGGACCTGGGAGATACAACTACAGGTAGCCTTCTACATTCTCCGTAAGTCCGCTGAAAATATTGATTTGTTGATAAATAGAACAATTGCCGTGTTTCACACTATCCAGTATTCCGGTATTCCAGTATGTCCAAAACAAAAGTAGAAAGTGGAATAACACCTAAAAAATGTTTATCTAAAGAACAATTAATTAATTTATATTTTTGCTCAGCTGAAGGTGCTCATCAATAATATAAGTAATAACATTTATTAATTTTGTGTCTGATGAACATCTGATTGTTAATATTTTGCACATATTTCGAATAACAACATTTAACCAGCGACAGTAAACGCGGGGAAAAGAAGAATAATTTAAAATTAGAATTATTTTTCAGTTTAATTTTTTTATTTATACTATTAAAAAAAGAATATTGCAATGTTACAATGTATTCATAATCTATAAAAGATGTTACTGTTTGTAGAAATATTTATAAGTACCTATTCAAAATATATGTAGACATTTTCGAGTGGTATATTTTAATTTACCGAATATTTAATTTATTTTGAACAGTTAAAAGAAGTTTGCATCTATAATTTGTCCAATCTATATATTTTACAGTTGACACATAATTTTCTAAATATGGATTTATACATAGTACCCTAACATTACACATAAATTTAATAAAAGTTCAGATAACTTTTTTCAGAAAAGCTTACGATTATGTCGGTTTTAATTTTTCATTACCAATTTTTTTTGATAATTAAGTACAGATGTGTTAAATTTATGATGTCATCGATGGTTGTTTTAAATGGAAAGTGATCGTTTTTATACAACTTTTGAAAGTTCTTTGAGAGACTTTTCGGAAATAATATAAAAACACCCGTTTCTATTTAAAAAAAATAGTCGATGATGTCTTATATCGTACAAAATGGTCAAACAAAATTAATCAAGCATGCGAATTAAAGAATAAGCCATATAATGTCTTAAGATGGCGTCTTATTCTTACTGCCCTTTTA